ACTTTTCTAGATTCTTAAGAAAAGTGATTCTGAAATATTTTTTTCTGGCTTCATATTCCACATTTTAAACGGGCTTCTCTAGTCCATTTCAGTGTCTGAAGTAATAAATGTGATCATACATACATACAGTACCAAGTGTTGGCTTGGATGTCCAACCTGCCAGATGACAGAACCTGTCAATATGGCAGATCTTCAAGTAACTTAATCACAAAGTCATATTACCTGAGCTAATCCCTCTGTAACTAAAGTTGATCACTACACCCTAGAAGCCAAAGAGACTAATGTGACCGAAATTCCACTAAGATTAATTGGGGTACCTATCTATTTTCTAAAATCTAGAAAAATGCTCTTTTCCTAAATTAAATAGTGAATGCTATATGGATGGTTTTAGACACAAGAGTGCTGACACCAAATAATTTTAATATGTTGAAATTATTAATTATTCTTGTTTGATTTTATGTCATTCTCTGATTTCCCATATATTGCTTAGTACTTCATTCTCTAAATGATTTTGAGGAACTGCTCTGTGGCCTCCTTGAACAAGAGAACAGGTGACTTTTCACATTTGTAGACCATTTCTAGAAATGGCCCACAGTTCCCTGCAGCCTCGTTGACCATGGAGGGCAAAGGAGGAAAATTTTTTCCCTTTTAGTACCACCCACCACATTAGAATAGCCTCCAAATGTGGATACTAACCACCCAAGATCAGAACACCAGTGCTGTACTTTTCACTACTGTATAATATTTGAATAGCCAAACATTCCTAAATAAACCTACATTTAGTCAGCTTTTATAATTGTTGATTGTAAACCTGAGAAACCTTAATATCATATGTATTATTTCTAATCCCCTTTTTATGTACCTTAAATAACTTACTCAGACCTTAATAACATGTAAAAGCTCTCTATTTTTTTTCCATTCTGTAAATATCCATCCACCGTAATCTTCCATCCATAAAAACCTCCTTACTAAAACAACTTCCATCTTTACACCTTGGTAACATTTTTTCTTTCTTAATGCACAGAAAAATAACAGTATTAACAAATGAATTTGCTATCTGCTCTGAGAATTTTTTCCCTGGAGTAAGGAAGACTAAATAAGCTCTTATATGGCCCTAATGACAAACCAAGGTTCACCATGCAGAACAAATGAGTTTATTTGGTTTACTTGCAAGGAATTTGTAAGGGGTTACAGATGGAACTGTGGATGGCCCAGAAGCAGTCACACTTAAAATCTTTACTCGGTATGTATGAGGACATGTTATAGTCACATAGACTTTATGCACTATCTATCTATCTGTCTGTCTGTCTGTCTGTCTGTCCGTCCATCCATCCATCTACCTATTGATATGTATATGTGATGGCCTGTTTATCTCTTCTTTTTGTGAAGGAATATTAACATTTAACAAGTCCTCCTGTGATCACATTAGGGTAACACAGCTGAAGAAATGCAGTTGACAGTCATTTATCTTAGTAGGACAAACCCCCGTATTAGATCTTGAAAAACACATTTGTTTGCTTTTAAAGGGGCTACAGTGTTAAAAAATATTCTAAAATCCTTAGCGTGTGTTTATCTATACCTTTATTTACATATAAAACATATTTTAAAACATGGATATATGTTATTCTTATCCAAAGGGTGAGCAATTGTCCAACAGGAAAATGTGTCTTAGAGTGGACATGATCATTTCTTAAAGTTAATTTATACCCTCAAGAAACAGGAACCATGTTGTAGAGCCAGAATTTAGATAATGATCAAGGTGATACTATTTTGACCCAGAATTGTATGATTATGTATGTCTTTGTCCTTAAAAACATATTTAATTATTTTAATTTTTAAAACTCATATTAATAGCTCCAAAGAAAGATTCAGGACCATGAACCACCTCTGCTTAAACAATTGTTATTTTGTTTCTAAATTTTAGTTTTATTGTGAACAAAATGAAGCTGGGCCCTGTTAGCAACTTTAGTTTACATGAGCATTTACTTATAGGTCAAATTGTCACCAAGTACATGATGTAAAGACAAAGCGTGAGCCCATGTAGGTCTGTGGACTGCATGCACAACCATGCATAAGGCATACTTTAATTGACCAAGATTTTGACCATTATTGCTTGTTGCAATTATGTTTATATAATTTTTCATTTGAAAGGGAAATGTGATAGAGATTTTTACTAAATGCTTTGTTAGATTGGACTAACGCGGTGACAGGAAAGGCCAAGAAGTGCTGTGATCAAGAGTATACTGTTTGTAGGACATTTATTTTTTTCTCAGCTTCCTCCAGTCCTGTCTGTATTTGGAAGCTTTTCTCATACCTGGTGTAGTCCTTAGGTCAGCGGTTTTCAACCTGTGGGTTGCAATCACATATCAGCCCTCCTGTGTATCAGATATTTGCATTACAGTTTATAACAATAGCAAAATTACAGTTACGAAGTAGCAACCAAAATAATTTTGTTTGTCTGCTTGTTTTCTGAGACAGGGTTTCTCTGTGTAACAGAGCCCTGGCTGTCCTGGACTCACTTTGTGGACCAGGCTGGCCTTGAACTCACAGAGACCTACTTTCCTCTCCCAAGAGCTGGAATTAAAAACATGCGCTACCATGATGGGCACCAACAAAAATACTTTTATGGTTGGGGGTCACCACAACATAAAGAAGCGTATTAAAGGGTCATGGCAGTAGGAAGGTTGAGAACCACTGCCTTAGATGAAGGGCTTCAGACCTTTCTCTACATGTTGGCCTGACCGTGGACCCTATGTTGTATGAAGCCAGGTAGGGAAGGGTTTCCTGTTTTTCGCTGCTTCTTTATTTTAAGTTTTGCTGCAATCTTCAGCCCTGTCTTCCTGCTCTAGTATGTTCACAAGTCTATCCTTCTCAGCTACTGTGAGGTGGGTATCTGTATGACATACACGGCTTGATATGTCTCTTAACATTCACACAGTAGGTACTGTGCTGTTAATGTTCTAATAGAGGACAAGTTATGTCTTTCAGCTAGGTTTGTCTTCAGCAATCATGGTATTTCCTTTCTTTTCTTTCTTCTTTCTTTCTTTCTTTCTTTCTTTCTTTCTTTCTTTCTTTCTTTCTTTCTTTTTTTTTACAGGCTCCCCCCTTCCATAACCCAGCCTGGCCTCAATTTCACAATCCACTTGTCTCATATTCCTCAGGTGTGGGCTAGCACCACTGACTTGGAATTTATGATTCTTTCCAAGAAAAATCATCATTATTTAGATATTTTATTCTTTTCCTGGCTTGCTCTTGGTCCTTGGGGCAGCCGGGCCCTGCATGCTGTTGGCCTGGTGGTCATCTTGGGCTCTCACTGTTTTTCAGGGAGTGTAAAGCTACTATCATTTAGATGTTCATAGGTCAGAGTGTGGGCATAACCCCTCTCCTCTCTGCCACCTACGACATCCATGTGGCACAGAAGTTGCAATGCTTTTAGGAGCAGGATATACTTCAATCTTAAAGGTTTCATTTGAATCCAGAAGATGTGCATGACACAATAGAGAGAGGCCTCAGTGGTTAAGAGCACTTCCTGTTCTCCCAGAGGACCGGAGTTCTATTCCCTGCACCCACACTGCCTTTAACTCCCACTCCAGGGCATCCCATTCTGTCTCCGTGAGCACTCTCATTGCAAAAGCACATCTCTCACCTAGAAGTGAAAAGAGATCATTTATTCTGAAGCCAAGTATAAGTGACTATGGCCCAGGAACATAGATCTAGCTGCACCCAGATCCTATGTGCTAAAGTGGAAGACATTTCATGAAGCTTGTATAATGACAAATAAAGTCGTAAATGATGACAAAAAAGAATACATTGGTAGACCTGAGGTCAGTAGAAATGTTAAATAATATATGTGTAAAACTCTGTAAATAATGTTTTTTTTAAGTTATTTGCACTCTATTGGACCTCCCACAATATATAAAAACCCTACATTGCAGGTTGACTTGCTGAATAGTAGTAAATTTAGCTGACAAAATATATATTCTATTACTAGAAACAAAGTTTGAATACATAGTTAAAAATAATGTGTCGGTGGAGGCATCAGAGAAATGGGATACAGGCAAATGGAAGACATCTCCATTACAGGCCTCTGACACTGTTGATAGAACTCTTAGCTTTGTCCTTACTGGAAGGCAGATGTCTGAGACATTGACTCGTTCTGAAGGATGGGTAGTGCTTTATTAATACATACCAAATGACTTACCTAATGGTCACAAAGCCATAGGTCAGGTTCAGTGGAGGCGAAGAAACATCTGTTGATTGAACAAGACAGTTTGACTATGGACTTGAAGCCAATTAAAAGTCTTGATTCCAGCCAGATGGGACTACATTCAGCCATTCAGGGACCCAGGTATAGCCCCCAAGTGTCCAGAAATACGGATTTTGAAGGCAAGATCTATATCTTCAAATGCCTGGCATCTTGTCTGGCATCTTGCTTGGCAGCTACAGGGGTCTTTGCAGAAGCAAACAGTTTAACAGAAGCTCTCAGCTGAGAGAATTTTGGCCTCAGGGCTTAGCAATTTTCCACAGGATTCTCTATCAAGGAGATCAAATTGTAGTTAAACCTGATGGTCTCGGCAAGAACACAGAGTGGAGGAACCTCTGAACTGTCCAGTCCTGTCACACAGCCTCACTGAAGTTCTAATCAGTTAATCAGCCATGAAAGAGGTTCAGATTGAAGGTGCAGCTTTTTGTCTGGGAACTTTCTGTACAGCAGCACAAGCACACGGCAGACACACACTCACCCACTATCTCTCTCACACACATATAATTACATAATATATATGTATATAAAGATCCTCATGAAATGTATACATGAACACAGGTGATCAAGACAAAGTGAATGAAAGCTGTTAGGAACAAGAGATTTTAGCAGGGGAGTTGGCCATGTGACTACCCCAGGGTCACAGTAAAGGGGTAAGAAGTGATGTGGCAAGCTGGAATATACATGTTCTTTGATCTGAGTGAATCTAACATTTTAATTGTTTTATTTGCTTTTCAAGGTGGTGAATCCCAAAAAGAAAGGGAAAAAGAAAAAGTACACCAATTCAGGAACCGTAAGTCATATTTAATGTTGTTTGTTAGAAACTCGGAACAGAAACCACTTAACAATTTGGAGCATACTCAGACCATCTCAGAAAGAAATTTACTTCACAAAGGCATATGCTGAAAGCATCACCTTCCTAGGGACAGTTGTCCTGGAGAATAGATGATGGAGGCAGTGGCTGGCTTTGCTGCTGGCTTCTTCCAAGCGAGGCTACCTTGCTGTTCTGACCTCTCTATTCAGCGGGATTCTGTGCAGTGACTGGCAAAGGCCAGACCCAGAATAGCTACGTTCCTCAGTGACTCCTAAGCCTGACCAGAGAGGTCAGTGCTCTCACTGATATGATACCAAATATCAGCTGTGGGGATGCTGGGGAGACGGATCAGGATGGGGGTAGGCGTCCAAGGAGAGCCAGAAAACTACAAAAAAATCAAAACCACTCTATTTTCATATTAAATAAATTTTAAAAACCACCTAAGTATTTTTTAAACTACCTTCACTCAGAAAAAACAAAGTCTTGCATTATTTTAAAGGTTTGTATTAATCACAACATTTCAAATGCTAGATGGCCTCATTAAAGCCTAGTGGCAAAAGTGGCCATTTCTTGTATAGCTCAGCCTCGTGAGTCCATATGTAGCTTTAACTCTCTTCCAGATTTTTTTACTGTTTCCTAATCTACAGTGGGGACAGCACAGTGTCCCTGCAGATGACTTTCATGCTGTTCCTCACAGCATGAAGTTAATTAATGCTGTCTTTCATCCCTTCCCTCTGATAATGTCAAATGCACTTCCTAGCAGATTTTTATGAATAATGTCAGTAGTTATAGCATAGAGTAGATATGCTAGGGATTACAATATTCTCTTTAGTAGAAAACTGTCTGTGTCCATTCCATGTTGGAATGATGGGATTACAGTTAATACTGACAGGTAATATTCTCTCTCTCTCTCTCTCTCTCTCTCTCTCTCTCTCTCTCTCTCTCTCCCCTCCCCATCCCTCACTAGGTAACCTTACTCTCTTTCTTGGTGGAAACAGAGGTCTCCTTCCTGGACTATATTAAAGGAGGGTAAGTCATTGTGTAAAGCTTGCATAGCATTTCTTCATGTGTAGATTGTTCCCATGAACATGAAAGCAACCGATGAAGCCCTTTGACTATTATATATACACACAAACATTTATGTGTATGTATATATAATTTATTTAATTTTAGCATGTGTACTGGGACAGTGATTACAAAACACATAGCCTGGGTGGAGGGACTCAGGGGGAAACCTTGCAATAACTGGCTCTGTGCTTTCACACTGTGGACTCCAAAGATTGAATCTGTGTCCTTAGGCTTAGCTGCAGGCACATTTACCCACTGAGCCACCACTAGGGACTCCACTTTTGACTATTTTGACTATTCTGATGGCAGATGTTTTCTTTTTTGACCTTCACAGAAACACAAGCTGCCCATGTCATCGCCTTTGCTTTAGTTAGGGTTTCTATTGCTGTGATGAAACACCAGTACCAAAGCAAGCTGTAGGGAAAAGAGTTTACAAAGGAAGTCGGGTAGGAACCTGGACACAGGAGCTGATGCAAAGATCATGGAGGAGTGCTGCCTACTGGCTTGTTCTTCATGGCTTGCTCATGTATTTAAAGATGTATTTAAAGAATCTTGGACTGCCTGCCCAGGAACAGTATCCCCACAATGGGCTGGTCCCTCCCCCATGAATCACCAATTAAGAAAATGCCCTACATGCCCACCTGTAGCTCAGTCTTATGAAGATATCTTATCAATCGAGGTTGGTTCCTTTCTCTCAGGAGACTCTAGCTTTTCTCAAGTTTTCATGCAATTAACAAGGACAGATACTTACTTACATTAGGTCCATTATTTAAACAAATTAAGAATGAGGATACAATATCAACCCTTGGTGAGCAGCATTTCCTACACTTCAACAAGCATGCCTTTAGGTTCACTGCAAGATCGCTTGGGATGTGTTCTTACCATCCATTCTGTATTAATTATATTGATAAAAAGGTGTATTCATACTATTAACCTCTGTGTATGTTACTACCAACCCATAACCCTTACTGAATAGTGTCCCTTCATTTTTGCTAATTTAATAATTACATAGGCCACCGTTAATTTATTTTTTATTTTTTAAATTGTTTACATTTTAATTTTTATTAATTGCAGTTTCTTCACTTTGTATCCTAGCTGTAGCCCCCTCTCCACCCCCTCCCAATTCCACCCTCCCTCCATCTTCTTCTCCTATGCTCCTTCCCCAGTCCAGGGATAGGGGAGGTCCTCCTCCCCTTCCTCCTCCCCTGATAGACCATAGTCTATCAGGTCTCATCAGGACTGGCTGCATTGTCTTTCTCTGTGGCCTGGTAAGGCTGCTCCCCCTCAGGTGGAGGTGAGCAAAGAGCCAGCCCATGAGTTCATGTCAGAGACAGTCCCTGTTCCTATTATTGGGGAACCCTCTTGGATACTGAGCTGCCTTGGGCTACTTCTGTGTGGGGGTTCAAGTTATCTATGAGTCATCCTTGTTTGGAATATCAGTTTCAGAAAAGACCCCTGCCCAGATTTTTTGGTTCTGTTGCTCTTCTTGTGGAACTCCAGTTCCCTCTGGGTCTTTCTATCTCCCCCTTCCTTCATTAGATTCCCTGCACTCTGCCCAAAATTTGGGTATAAGTCTCAGCATATGTTTTGATACCCTGCTGGATGGAGTCTTTCAGAGACCGTCTGTGATAGGCTCCTCTCCTGTTCCCTGTTTTCTCCCTCTTCTGAAGTCCACCTCATTTGCCTTTTTTGATGAAGACTAAGCATCTTACCCAGGGTCCTCCTTCTTGATTAGCTTCCTTAGGTGTGCAGATTTTAGTATGATTATCTTATATTATATGTCCAATATCCACTTATGAGTGAGTATATACCATGTGTGTCTTTCTTTTTGTGAGTATAACCTCAATCAGGATGATCTTTTCTAGATCCCACCATTTGCCTGCAATTTTCATGATTTCTTTGTTTTTAATTGCTGAGTAATATTCCATTGTGTAAATGTACCACAATTTCTGTAATCCTTCCTCAAATGAGGGACATCTGGGTTGTTCCCAGCTTCTGGCTATTACAAATAAAGCTGCTACGAACATGGTTGAGCAAATGTCCTTATACACTTGAGCATCTTTTGGATATATGCCCAGGAGTGGTATAGCTTGGTCTTGAGGTAGCACTATTCCTATTTGTCTGAGAGCACCAAATTGATTTAATTTATTTTTAATTTTTGAATTTATTCTTTGGGTACTCCATGCATGTTTACAATTAAATATGATCATACATAATTCTACTTCCTCCTCCTCCTCTCCAAACCTCCCCTGGATCTTCCCCTCATCTTGCCCCCTTCCTACATCATTCCCTCTTCCTTTTTTTAAATGAAACTTAGTAACCCTGAAGTCTGATTAGTTCTGTATGTATGTGGGGCTATGCATTTGAGCATGGGCAACCTACTAATAGTCACACTTCCAAAGATGAATACTTCCCTCGGCACCTGTCAACTGTCAGTTTAAGTTCTCAGTCAATTGCATGTCTCTGCAAAGGCCTTAATTGAGAAGCACTGCAAAAAGAAGTCTTGCAGGGCCCCTGTATCTTCTTCCCACTCTTCTAGGTTCATTGAAGGGTTGGAAATTTTCAACTGAAGACAAAATTTCAACTGAAGCTTGGAGTACAGACCATAGAGCAGTGGTTCTCTGCCTATGGGTTTGCAACCCCTTTGGGTCATAACAATCAATTCACAGGTGCTGCCTTAGACCATCAGAAAACACAGATACTTACATTACAATTCATAACAGTAGCAAAACAACAGTTATGAAGTAGCAAGAAAAATAATTTTATGGGTAGGGAGTCACCACAACATGAGGAGCTGCATTGAAGGGTCACAGCGTTAGGAAGACTGAGAACCCTTTACAGCATGTGACTACCCTTCCTAGGAACTTCCACCCTGGTCTGAAACTTCTTCAGTATAGGACAGAAAACGACCTTCTATTGTTAGGCCGTGTGGCCTGGCCTTTTGTTCACAGGTGACACTAAAAACAATAAAATAAATCAACAATTTGGGCTATGATCAGATGCTAAACACAGTGAGATTTCCATTGGCTGAGTTACAAACTCCTGCATCTATCTTCACCAATAAATAATCAAAACAGAGAAAGAAAGAGTGGAAGGAAGGAAGGAAGCATATATAGAAACATACATGAAAAGATGTAGCCGGGTTGTGTGCAGGCTCTTTCAGATACTAAAAATGGGTTAAGGAGATGTTAGCATGCCTTATTACTGATGTTCCGTGAACTACACTTTGTAATGCAGCCAGGGCACAAGAGGTTAAATGCAAGAGGCTACATTTCTTACCAGTATCACTGGTGATGGAGGGAAATCGGCTCTCGTTTGTTATTTCTCTAATAATTTTGTAGTACAATGCATTTTAGACTGTGTCCTACTGCTGTTCACATTAAAACTTGGAGGAAGTTTGTGTTATACACACTTGATATTGAAATGTGTATATTCTTGAAGGTAATAAAAATTAAAGCGTAAATATGCTTCTGCACCTACCAGAAATCGCTGCTGCTGGACTTTGAATTCTAAAGCTGCTTCGAGGAAGGCATGCTGAGACTGGGGCATAAGTGGCTGATTTTCTTCCTGTTATGATAGAGGGCGTGGGAGAGAGTAGCAGTGGAAAGATACTATGTGAATAAGCTCTTAGAGCAGTTTCAACAATTCGATAAAATGTTTGCCTTGGTTTTACAAAACATATGGGGTTATGTCGAATGTTGCCTCAGGGAGCATGCTTTGCCACAGCAGGCAATGCTATAAAGTTTTTCTAATCTGATTTCTTGTTTGAATATGCATACCTAGGACATTTTTTTCAAAAAGTAGGATTACTTGTAGGGGCATCCAAGTGATTTATGCTCATCAAAGCAGAGGAAAGCCAAACCCTGCAGCTCAAAATTAAGATAAATCTAATAAAGCCAGCCTTTCTTCTGTAAACTCACAGGGAATGTTCTCATATCTCATCTAAACCAACACTTAGGAAAGAGAATTTTACAATATTAAAAGGCGGTCTCAAAATTTGTTTTCGTTCATGCTTGTCTCTAAATCTGTCTGTTTAAAGGGAGAAGTTGGGAGAGGGTCAAGCGCAGTGATCTGTGTATGAAAATCCCTTATGAAAACCCACTTCTTTGTGTGCCAATCTTAAAAAGTAGAAGTAAAATATTTAAAGTTAACAAAATAAAAATGACATAGGCTTGGAAGTCAAGAGATATTTTGAGCTTCATACTTGGCATTGTCTTTCACCCTTAGCCTGTCTATCTGCAGATAGAAGTATTCAGGGAAATGGTAAACATGTTTCATCATAAGACATGATGCCAAGCTGGGCATGGTAGCCTTTAATCACAGCACTCAGGGAGGCAGAGGCAGGTGGACTGCTGTGAGTTCAAGGCCAGCAGGTCTACAAAGCGAGTCCTGGACATGAGATTTTGCAGAAAAACCCTGTCTCAAAAAAAAAAAAATCACAAAACAAAACAAACGAACAGCATCACATTTATTTTAGGCAGTTTCTCAGTTGTGGTGCATGGTACGAGTTCAAAGAGCTGCACAAACCAAAGAGCAAAGGAAAGGAGAGCAGATCCAGCAAGGGACGTTCAATGCTCTGAAAATCTCCTGTAATTGGGGGTCAACCACCTCCTCTCTAAAGGAGAATTCTCTTTGAAGTACAGGAGCTTCTGAAGAACAGATTGTAATCATGTGTTTGAAAGAACAGCTCAAGAGTTTCACTCTGGAGAGCAATTAGAAGTTGGGGAAGGGAGACTGAGAGGAAACAGAGGCTCACCAAGGGCAGGTGGCCGAAGCAGGCAGAAAATGTGTCCTGATGTGCTTACGTTGCCACGCAGACTGTGGGTTAGGGGGTCACAGGGTGTGCTGTTTTGAAGTCTTCTGCAGTAGTTCATCCCCCCCGTGGAATGCAGTGGTTGTAATTCGGTGCTTGACCCTGTACACTACTCAACAAATAGGGAGAGGATTAAAGAAAAACACAT